GATAGCTGAAGCTAAAAGTAGCAAATAGGATAGCTGAAGCTAAAAGTAGCAAGAGACCAAAAGCAGAAACGACAGATGAAGATAAAAATGAGGCTTTTTTTTTTAAAATGAGCTTAAACACCAAAACAAAGATGCTTAAATTAACACAGTTGTAATTTAGCTAAACAGATGCTAAAGCTAAAATTGGCAAAAAATGATGCTAACTGTAGCCAAATAGTAGCTAGACTTTTCAAACTAGCAAAAATGACCCTAAATCTAAAACAATAGCTAAAAGCTGAAAGTATCAAAATGATAGCTAAAAGCTAAAAAGAAGCAGAAATGTAGCTAAAACAGAACAAGTATGCTGACGTAGATTTCGTACTGAGTAAAGTTTTTGAAGGAATTACGAGATTGTAAAATATTTTTTATCTAATTTTATTAAAATGAAGTGAAATATTTAAAAAAATTTAAATGTCAGAAAAGCTAAAGCACATAGTTCCTGATCCAGCAGAACGTTTTGACAAATAATGCGCTAAAATATTACAAAGAACGCGCTGGATGTTAGTTTTAGTTTGGGGTATCGGAGTAAAAAGGGCTGAATACAAATTTACGCCACACTTTCCTGTTTTAGTAGAAGAAAAAAAAAATTTCTTCCTCTTAATTTTTGTTTTGGTCGATCTTATTAAAACATGATGTTTGTGGTTGAAATGTGGAACAGTTCGAGATGTTCTGTACCTGCAATGAAATAATAGACGATGGCGTTGGCGCCCTCGTCGGCGTCCACAGCTCTGGTCACGTTGCCGACTACGGTTCCTGGAGGAGACTCTTCAAGCACCGTCATCTTCTGGTACGACAAGCTGCCACGCTGAGGTGAGGACGCACACGCCATCAGACCCAAGATGACAACACACACACAGTCCCACAACTCCAGGCGCAATCGCAGCCACACACTCACCGGCGGTTTCAGGAAGACCGGTTCGTTATCGTCTATGTCCAACAGCGCCACCTGCAGAGGCTGCGTGGTCTCATACGGCACCGGCTGACCCAGGTCCCGGGCCACGATGATGAGCTGAGAGAGGACCGTGCACAACGTTAGTCGCGTACAGCCGACGTGTTTCAGACGCAGAAACGGCAGAAGACTCACGCTGTAGAGGGCCTGCTTCTCTCGGTCCAGTTTCACAGTCGTCGTGATGACCCCCGACACGGCATCGATGCGGAAGTTCTCCCAGTCTCTGTTTCCCGCTCCCGTCTGCAGGAAAGAGTAGCGGACCTCTCCGTTCACCCCCTCGTCGGCGTCGGTTGCGTGCACCTCGTAGACGGGCAGACCCGGCGGCTGCTCCTGCACAGAAACCCAACGAACGTTTGTACGAACATTTAGTGAGAACTGGATTAAAATTGTTGGTTTTCTTTACTGGTGTTTGGGTTGATTACCAAAACTAACCAACACTTGTGGTTCCCACGGTTTCAAAAAGTAGAATGCGAGGCAGAGCTTTCGGTTAGAGATCATATCTCTCCGGTTTTAGCTTCTCTCCATTGGCTCCCTGTCAGATTCAGAATTTCATTCAAAATCTTCTAACCTACAAAGCTCTCAACAACCTAGCTCCATCTTATATTACAGATCTTATTGCTCCATATATTCCTAACAGAGAACTTCACTCTCACACTGCAGGTTTACTCGTGGTTCCTAGAGTTTCCAAAAGCAGAATAGGAGGAAGATCTTCCAGTTCTCAGGCTCCTCTCTTGTGGAACCAACTTCCAGTTTCTGTCCGTGAGGCCGACACATTGTCCAGTTTGAAGACTTTCCTGTTTGATAAATCCTATAGTTAGGGTCGGCTTGGGTTTCCTGAGCTATCCCTTAGTTATCTGCTATAGGCTTAGACTGCTGGAGGACAAATTGACCTCATGTCTTATCTCTGATGTATTTACTTGCTCTACTCTACCTGTTTATAATTATTTCTATCTTAACATATTTTTTTGTCTTTCCTCATATAGAAAGTTCACCTGAACTATAGAAAGTTCACCTGAACTATAGAAAGTTCACCTGAACTATAGAAAGTTCACCTGAACTATAGAAAGTTCACCTGGACTATAGAAAGTTCACCTGAACTATAGAAAGTTCATCTGAACTATAGAAAGTTCACCTGAACTATAGAAAGTTCATCTGAACTATAGAAAGTTCATCTGAACTATAGAAAGTTCATCTGAACTATAGAAAGTTCACCTGAACT